TCAGAGAGAACCACAATATTGAAGGTCAACATCAACAACTGGTGTGAATGCAGTGTTTACGACAAACTTTACTGGTGAATTTGCTCATGGAAAAATTTTACCATGGACTTCAACTTTGTTTCAAGGTTCCAGGACGGAAGACAAATTGCCACTAAGGTTTTCTACGGTTACTTCTTTTAGTTCCACAAGCTCAAGCGTACAATGAAAGTTATGCTGCAAAATGTATTAGGCGCAGTGTCAGATGCAGTAGGATCGAGGGAGTTTTGTGTATTACTGTAGTGTACCTTGTTATCGGTTCTACGTCGGACTTTCTTGCAAGTTCCATATGAGCCAGATCCTATTTCACTGAGGATGTCATAATCTTGGAGTTTGGAAGGCATGGTTTGTCTTTACAAAGCTGCAAATTTTAAAAATATCTTTGCTTGAGGATCAGTTTGTAACAGCTGCAGTTGTAATATCTAGCAGACCACCTGCCTCCCCGCATTAATCTTTATCTTTCCATTTCGAACGGTTTTGACATCCTTTTCGAGTTAACCAAGCGAAAAATAAAGTAAAAGATAGGAAAATTACCTACCTTCGATCTCGTAAGTGAATATGGCCGTCTCTTACGAGCATCCAACATTCGAAGAAAACTTGAACTTCGTGCACTGCTCTCTGATTGGCTGTTCCATCGTGTCATGTGCTTCTCGACCTCATGACGAGGCTAGACACAGCCTCTTTTTGACAGTGAAGACATGGCCTAATTTCCCGCCTTCTAATGTGCAGTAAATTAGAACAGCGTTAAAAAATATTTACTCAAAAATATTCATAAACACTTAATCAACTCGGAACCGGGGAAAATACTAATTGAAGGAATGAATGACTGGTTACGAATAATATTGCTTGTCTGGTCTTTTGTAGATATCATAGACTGCAGAACAAGGGTGCATGGCGAAAAAAGTTCTGAGGCAATGCATATTCATTTGCGGTCCTTTGCCGTTAATTGTCTAAACCATTATCAATTTGTTAACCACAACAAGCTGACAAATTATTCCGTTTCATCAAGAGCCATCTGGCTCTTGGTTTTATTTTATTTTGGTGTCTAATTAGTCATTTAATAAACGTCGGTTTGGGATGCATGTTCTATGCAAACATTACTTTGAGGTAGATAGTCAACAAGACAGCCAACTGAAATTTTCTCAAAATTGTATCAATAATGCCCTGCTTGACTAATACACAGAGGATCTAGGTAAGTTGACTCCCCTGAGAGGATTCGAAAGGGCTGTGGGGACTCCTTCTTTAAAATCACGTTTGTAGTACCGCTAGCAGAAATTGATTGCTCACTCTGTTGCTTTCAATAAGGAATGAAGTAGCCTTCCAAGATATACACTGCCATTTTTTTTTGAAAGGGTTATTTATGCCTTATAACCAACACTTACACTCAAGATGCTGTTCATTGTTGCTACTATAACTTAGTTAGGCAACCGCGCGTTTAACGTGTTAGGTAGTCGCTTTTCCTGCTTTTCGAGAAAGTTGTCGCTTACAACAATATTTTCTCCTGATATGGAGGTCAAATTTATCAAACTTGTCATGCTGGAAGTCACTAGTTCATACATCAGGAGTCTTTTGGAAGGTGGTACTCCTCACCGTCTCTTGACCGTTTTGGTTTTCAAGGTATAAAACCAAAACAGTCACTGTCGCTTACAAGAATTGGTTGCGTACTGTCTGGACTTTTTTTCGACTAATAAGTGCCCGCGCCTGACATACAGTAGGGAACTTTAGCAACGGCGACGGCAACGAAGCGTCAAAAAGCAATGGGTTTATTAAGCAAAACAATAACTTTGCACGTGTATCACGCTTTTTTGTACTTTTCTTTGCCGTCACTGTACGGCTACGACGTGAAACTGCCTAATTTCACGTTTTATGGACGACGTAAACAAGCTAAGCGACGACGAATGAGTGCGGTCCCTAATATTGAACTGAACTCCCGGGAAATTCGCCGACGTGTGACATTTTCAGCGAATTGGAATAAACACGACAAAATTTGAAAAAACGTGAATTCATTTGTGACGTTTTCGTTGCCGTCGCCGTTGTCGATGCTAAAGCTCCCTAGTATCAATATGACTCTATTTTTAATTATGTTTAGGGCTGGCAGCGTACGAAAAATCAGCTGATTTTTCTTCCAGAAGCACCTGTTCGCAAACCAAAACGATTGTTATGTGCAAAGCTGTCGGAATAGGGAACACTGAGGAGATACGGGGGTTGGGGGGGGAGGGGGACGCTTATTGGGGGATGTAGGAAACCGTAAAGCGAGTTTTTTTCCTCCCCTATAAATGAAGCTATGAAGCTCTAAAGTTCATTTAAAGAAAACCTTAGTGTACAGAAAATCTGACAACATTAATTTTCTTAAGTCTTTTCATCAGGTACTTGAATCGACCATTTAACTTTATTAAACTCAGTTTGTCAGTTTGAAGAGCGATCCTTTGTCATTTTGTTTCAAAGCCAAGAAATGCTTTGTGACAAAAAATGACAGCTTTACATTTACGGCTCTCTAGTATATTTTTACTGACAACTCAAACTTTGCTTTGTGATACGATTGTCGTGCGATCAACGCGATTACTGCAAAAAAGATAAAGACAAAAAATATATATGTATCCTGGTACATTAAACAACTTCGTCTATAGTCAATGGTCAATATACATTAACATACAGTTAAATTTGAAATCTATTTCTCGATTTTGGATTTAACACTATCTATAGTAGAGGTGACGAACAAAATTGGAATGATTTTATTGTTTTTATCAGATTATAATTACTTTTTTTTATAAACGTTCGCTTTTTCACTCTGGAATTGAAGCAGAAAATGTTCACCAGGAAAACAATGGTTCACGGATAAGTTTTAATGCTGGAAAAGTTTTTAGAAATGGGAATAATCTATCACGCTTACTGTTGCACTCGCGACGTGTGCGATAATTTATCAATATAGACTGACTAAATATAAAAATTACATTTGCAAGTCAAGTCGTCATGGGTAGTAAAATATCAACACATAGCGAGGACTTACAAAAACACCCTTTGTTTTATAATGGTGATAACACAGTTTGATGCTTTCAATAAGTTCGTTGCCCGCAATCATTTTGTGACATTATAACAGCATAGATTTCAAAACTCGGAGGAAGATCCGGAAGGAAAAGCAAGTTTTCCTATTTTTCATTGCATGGCATCACTACCGTGACCAATATAAGAGATAGCTTCCGCTTTGATATATCGGTAAGATTCGTTGTTTTTCCGTTATTGACTGATCAAAGTTTCCTGTTATTCTTGAATGAACTCGGTGGTGATTTTTACTTCGACGGACAAGGTTAGAAGACTTCACTACTCGACTGCTTTAGAGGAGGTATCATAAATATAACCATAAATTATTGAAACTAAAAGCAATGGCAAATTTGAGGGGAAAACTTACATTTCTATTTCTTTTATCGAATCAGACTGTAGTCCTTTTCATTTTATGAAAGTGACTATATGAAATTACTTTCGTTTAAATTTTATCACTCGAACTTTAATTTTAAAGGTATGTGGCGCGCTTTATCAGTGGCCTCTCAATGTGCTTCTATGTTTTGATTTTGAGAGATTGTTATTCCAAAATAACGGTCTGCAAACTTTAAGAATAGTTTATCTTAAAATGACTGCGCTTTCACAGCGATAATCAGATTTGGACTTAGCATTCGAATAATACAAAACTTTACTACTGAACGACTCTCCACGCCGAATAAATTTTTATTTCGTTGTTGCAAACCACAGCGAACAAGATTTATCACTGATATTCTCGACAGCTGACTTGCAGTTTCAAAGAACATGACGTCAGAAGAACTTTAAAAGAGACTTCAATCACCGACATAAGTCAAGTATCACACCTTCTAATAGGAAACTCACTTTGCCGGGTCAAAAATCCATTTAATGCATTTGCGTTTCCAATCTACAAAGTTGCTATAGAACACTATAGTTTAAGAGAGTTTATATCTTAACAGAGAAATTAAGAATCTCATTTTCGGCATACGTATACAAATGTCACTTTTTATCACGTGACCAAGTTTTCCGAGAGAATTCTATGGCTTCTTTCAGTTCATTAAGCTCCTGTTATTGGTCATTTTGAGACTGCGTGGGACTGGGTCAAAATCTGTCCCCTAAAGCGAGAATGGCTATACTTATATTATTTGGTTCAAATTGACATGAGTAGATTGTCTGTAAACTAGCTAGAAAAACTTGGCACTATAAACAAGTTCAATCGCTCTACTCGCTGATGGCAGACAGTTTGATGACATGTTATTCTCATTCCTACTTGATGCAAAATCAAGCAGAGCTCCTAAGCAGGACACTGTGATTCACGGACATTACGTCGCATAAAAGAAAAAAATAGCAAGTATTCTTATGGCAGCAAACACTGTTTGATCACTTCTAGGGGTTAAAGGTCTAAGTTATGATGAAACTTTATTCTGTGTTTTCTTGTTCGATCGATAATCATTCAAAATCATGTCTGTTGACGTAACTGGGTATGTTACTATTGAGAACTTTGAGAGTGTTTTCACATGACGTCACAGTGGCCTTATTGGTGTTCCAAAACAATAAAACGGCGGCCATGTTTGTGTTCCAAACCAATCCTGTGGGAGTTGAACTCTTTCCTTATGTAAACGTTTTCTTTTGTTCCAATTAATTGGCATAGAAACTGGGCACCCGATTAGCAATTTTCTAACCTCGTGTCAGCGCTTAACCCCTTTATGGGTATAAAGTCCTGGGGACGATTTTGCCAATTTTCACGAAGAAGACCGTAAACTGATTTCCATTTGAAAAGCCGCTCAGAGTCTAAACAGGTGTCAAATAGGTGATAATCATGTTAAACTACTAACCATTTTGACCCATGATAGACCGAGACTCAGTTTGGTTTTTGCTCTACATATTATGAGCACTCTATTTTACAGGAATTGAGAGCGTGTTACATCTACTATTGGCTATTTTTTTCTGTGATGGGCTGTTCTGCGTCATTTCCGAATCATACCACTCCTTGGAAAAAACCAACTTGCGCCCCAGGGGATTTTCAAATTGCTTCAGTTTCTTTATCGCATAACACCAAGAATACTTTACGAGAATCATGGAAACTCGTGGAACCAGTTAAAACCGAGACAGGAAAAGCCATGTTTATGAGGTAAGATAAGCAAGTGATCTCGACTCGGCGGCAGTTTCTCCCAGCGTTTATGTAACTGAGCTTAGCATGTTCTAAAAAATCTTCACTGCTGAATTTCACTTCGTTAATATAATTAATTATGCTGTTCAAGGATGAAGTGGAACCAGTTTAAGTCTATAATGCAGAAATCCTATAGTGCCGACCTTTCAAAGTGAAAGCCGTTACTAAGCAGTTTAATTTTCCTGTGGTGTATGTTTATATCTATAGCACAGGTGTATTTTCAGCTTTAAACCCGATGGTGAATATAATTTTTAACGTGAAGGCTTTTTTAGTTCACCATGCTATAGCATATGATATAGCCAATTCATAGATGACGCTGTTATAGTGTTGATTCTTTCTCGTTCTAAAAAATTTACTCGAATAAAATGAATGAAAGTAAACTCTCAAAAAGGTTCCATGTTTCATTCAGGTGCCAGTATATTTAAAGCCGTCTGTATTTAGATAACACTGACGTCAGATCACACAACAAAATATTTATTTTTCGGCTCAGTCCTTCTTTATATTGTCAACTTTTTCCCGCTGACTTACCAACATATAATTTCTCATGATTTGGGTACTTTTGAAGTGGTACTAGTGTCGCAATTAGAATCTTAACTTAAGGTTTTGTGCACCTGGAAAAGTTCTAATGAATCATTTTAAGCAGGTGTCTTCATTGACTTGTTGTAATATTTTACGTTAGAAATAATAATCAAAAGTGCACCTATAGGCTTAGTGAAGTCCCATTGAATATTACGGGAGGAAAACGTCGAAAAACCAGACGTAATGCCTTCCTGAACGAGTAGTCTACAAGGAAATCAAAGTATTTTTCGACTGGTTTTGCCCGAGAGTGTTTTTACTGTTTGACCAATAAAAAGAAAAAACATAAAAATGCGTAAGACGCTGAAACCTAGGAAATAACAGTTGTTAACCAATATAGATCGTTTGATTAAACATGGTGTGTGACTTAAGAAAAAGAAAATAAATGCATGAATAGTAAAAACAAAGTAAGGATGTTTTGGGTTTAAATACAATATACATATTACCGGTAAATAATAAATCGACACTTGTTAACCCTTTTCGTTACTATTTATGAAGATCCACATACGGGACATTGAGAAAACCGAGGTGACAGTACTGACGCGTATTTCACATTAAAGAGAGTTCCACTTTTGAATAGCGTTAACTGCATGTCAATTCAGACCAGAATTCATAAAAACTGAGGGCCTGTTTACATGGAGGTGGGGTACCCCAGATAGGGGAGGTAACCCGCATAGGTGGGGTAACCCGCCTTTCCATATAATCTCTCATTTTAATTTGATCACTTTTACGTGATAGGTGGGGTAATCCGCCACATGTTACCTCACCTACCTGGGGTCCCCCACCTTCATGTAAACAGGCCCTAAAAATTGAATTGTTTTAAAATAACAAAAAGAAGTCGCTAGGGCATATCATATGATATCACAGCCGAAAAGACTTTGGATTGTCACAACATACACCACTTGGTCCAAACAGTATCAAAAGAAAGTACTGCTCGGTAGCTTTTATTTGAATGGTCACACCGTAGGATTTCATCCACAGACTCAAAAGTTAGAACCACCTTGTACAGCGTAATAAACAGTACCACAGGAAAGTACTGCTCAGTAGCTTTCATTTGAATGGTCACACCATAGGATTTCATCCACAGACTCAAAAGTTAGAACCACCTTGTACAGCATAATAAACAGTACCACAGGAAAGTACTGCTCAGTAGCTTTCATTTGAATGGTCACACCATAGGATTTCATCCACAGATTCAAAAGTTAGAACCACGTTGTACAGCATAATAAACAGTACCACAGGAAAGTACTTCTCAGTTGCTTTTATTTGAATGCAATCATTACATTCTACACTAATCTAAATCTAAGGATGAAATGTTTAACGCAATCTTCTTATGTTCTTTAGACTTTTTAAGACTCATCCAAACATCCAAGACACGTTTCCTTCATTTAGAGGCGTCAGTCTTGACGAACTTATGAATTCCCGCTCGCTCTATCTTCATGCCAACCGAGTCATGGCTGTGGTAGAAAACGCCATCTCCGCTTTAGATGATGCTGACGAGGTTGTAGAGTCTCTTACAAATTTGGGTAAAAAACATCAACCGTGGTCACTCACACAGGAGCACTTTAGGGTAAATCACTTTTTTGCCGTTATAATACGATTCATTTTTACTCTTGGCCATTGGAAAACATTTTAATTCTTTTGTGAACGTGTTAGCCATACAAGAAATTTGCTCTTTTTAAAATAATTTCCTTGAGTCTCGCACCTCTTTCGATGCCATTTGATAACAATTTGAAATGAAAAATTTATATCAAAGGCCCACTTCTAATTTATAATCATGTGCCCAATGTGGGACTCACGCTTCAGCCCGCGGCCCTTAAAAGCCTTCAAAATTGGACCATTTTTGGCCCTAGTAGACTTCCAGGCTATGTATAGATACATCTCTTGTGCCGAAAAAACCCAGCCAATCAGGAAAAGAGCATTATTTCCAGAAAATGGTGGATGGCAAAGTATAGAAAAATTACTTTAACCCATATATTGGATAGTAGCTCAGCGTCCACCCAAGTTAAGAGTCATCAAAATCAAGCAAAGAACAGATTCTATTTATGACAAACAAGGTAAATGTTAGTGAGAAAAGAGCAATCTAGTTCTGTCACACTTATTCAGTGACTTAGTTTCAAAGGCGCGCAATCTCGTAATAGCTGTTGAAGGAAGCGATACTGTTTCCAAAACAATCCCAGTGTGTACTTTGACACAAGACAGAACTTCCAGGGTGATGAGATCTTGCTTGAAAAGTAACTTAAATATTTTCGTTCTTCAAATTCGTCAGGTTCTAGGTGATGCACTTTTGTGGGCGTTACAGGAAATGCTAAACACGGAGTGCACGAACCAAGTCATAGAAGCCTGGAAAGAGTTGTTTAAGTTCATAACCAGACCAATGCTGAATGGTGTAGAAGGGGACGTTTTTTAGGACCAAATATATTGGTCCAACATCATTCAAAATTCCCAGTATAATACCCAACGTCGCCCGTCATGGGCATCATTCTTGTCGTCAAGTCCTTTATGTCAACACGATAAAAATTTAAAGAAGACATTGTGTTGGATCCGATGCGTTTCTCCAACATCATCCTGCAACATCCAACATCTCGCCCAGAAAAGGTTCAAATGGATTAAGTTTGACCAACATCGTCATATGCTAACTTTCCGTGTTGTACTGTAGTACATATCTATGATACAGATAGATAGTCAATCGTTGAAGTTGCCGGATGAGTGTGGTCCTATAATTTCGGACCATACGAAACAGCACTGTCGCAATAAACGATGATTACTCCTGAAGCCTGAACTCCTTTGAAGTTATAACCAATGCTCTTCAATAAAATGAATTGAGCAATGTACGAAATACATTCTACCAAGAATACAAGTATTCATCATAGAGATGTTTATTTTAAATGTTTCAAACTGAGAAAGAAAGATTCTTCCATGCTCGGTTGAAGTGTCGTTTTTAAAACGTATTGTTTACTGCTGTATTCCTGCATAGGTTAGCAACATTAGTTAGAGGATAGAAAATAGGATAGGATCTAATTAATGCCGTTTATTTCTACTGTATACAACTAAAAGGGTATACAAGAAATATAATTATTGATAAAAATACATACAGTGGTTGGACACCCAAAATAGCTATAAAGCTGAACTAGTTGGTGACCACTATCATTAATCATAATAATTGAAAATATGCAAATTATAATACAAAACATTTAGTAGAAGCAGTAGCAGTTGCCTTGTTTCTGTGCTGTTTTTAATTTTAAATAGCTTTGAAAATAGTCGAAGTAAAAAAAATAAAGGTATAAGTAGTTTTTCAGCACATGAATTTCTTTCACAGCCCCAAGCTGCTGAGATCCCAAAGGATCCCGGGATTCAATATGGCGGAAATTCGGATGTCATGACCTCGTGACGTAATGTGACCTTCGTACAGTCCAAACGGTAAAGATGGGGAGTAGATTAAAAAAATTGTAGAGTTTTCAAATGCGCATAATTTTGTTCACGGGTACTTGTCTTATTTTTCGGTTGAATAATAGCTCTTTTCGAAAAAAAGTGATAGTCTGGGACCTAAACTAAGCGCGTACACATTTATGGACTATTTGCGGGGACGCGAATGTAAACAAACATGGCTGAAAGCGAATTGGAATGTTTTACCGGGGTTAAAACAGCTCAAAATAACAAAACGGAAGGTGGAATTGAAAGAAAAAACCTGAAAATGTGAAGCTGAAGGAAGATGTGCCAGGAGTGATTTTACCTCGCGAAAAACCGGAAAAATGCACCGTGAAACAGCTTCAGAGATGAATTCTTTGCTGTGGAGCCAAAACAACTGGAAAGAAAACGTCTTGCCTTTGGTATTGTATAAAGTGCCAGACCAAGGGAGTTCCTAAATGCGAGCGCGCTTGGTTTGGGTCCTGGCTATCACTCTTTTCCAAAGTGAGCTATTAGAGCGGTGATTAACTTCATAACAGCTTCAAACGTTTATATGTAGATTCTTCATTCCGTCGACAATGCAGACCAGTGTTTACATCAATGAGTTGTGATTTTCGTGTGCTCGCTCCTTTCCTGCTAACATGGTAACGGTCATAAACCCAAATAGTTCTGTCCAGGCATGCGCAATATCTTCTGTGTAGTCCGTCTTCAGCAGGTCTTTTAATGTGAGAACTAAGGCTTTTTCCATAATCTAAGCAGAAAAAAAAATATGCTAGGAATAAGAAGACCTCTTAAGCCCTGTGAAAACGGACGCAACATTGTTGGCCAACGACTCCCAACATTGTTGGATGTTACATGTTGCGTCTGTTTGCACACCTTGTTGCACGTTGTTGGGAGTTGTGGCGCAAATTTTGAAACCGGTCAAACTTTTAGCTACGTGCAAACGGACGCAAAAACTCCCAACATTGTTGCGCCAACAATGTTGGGAGTTGTTGCGTGCGTGTTGGCAGTGGTGTGCAAACGGATGCAACAACTCCCAACAATGTCTGGACCTGCATTGCGTCGTGGGAAGGATACAACCCATAAGTCTTTGTAATCCATGCGTAATGAGCGTGCGTGGCCCCAACAATGTTGGAAGAGCTGTGCAAACGGGTCCAACATTGTTGCGCTTCGCTTCGGCAATCACGGAACAAAAGAAATTTGGGGAGTTGTTGCCTGAAAAGTTTGACCGGTTTCAAACTTTGCGCAACAACACGCAGCAACATCCAACAACATGCAACAGGATGTGCAAACGGACACAACATGTAACATCCAACATTGTTGTGAGTTGTTGGCTAGCAATGTTGAGTCCGTTTGCGCGGGGCTTTATTCAAACAAGATTTTGTAAAAATGTTGCATGTTATAATTTTTATCAAATATAATATCGAATTATGTTGAAGCCTATAGATGGCGCTTAATTAGTAAAAGACACTGCAATTTGTTTAAAATTCGGGTCAAGGGCTAAGAAGGAAAATGCTGATATAAACAAACAGATTCTACACGCTGCTTTGAAGTCCTCGACTCGAAAGTCACACGTCCACGAGCCTGATTACATCGTCATGTTAATCTTGATATAAACTTAACCAGCCTCAGGGAGTGGCGATCATTATTTTTTTTACATCTGTACAGGTTTCCTTTGACAAGCTTAACTTAACGCACCTTAAAATGTTTCTCAGTGATTGAGATTGCAATATGTCTTTGCCCCAGGTCGGTTAGACGTTCAACAATCTCTTGCCCATCTTCCAGCGAAGAAACAGCTTTCTCCACCGCTGCCATTAAACGTTTTGAGTGTAAAAATAAAGATCGAGAGTTCATCAGCTCGTCAAGGGCGACCCCTCTGAATGACGGAAACGTGTGTTGAATGTCTGGATTTAACTCAAGGAGCCTGTAAAAACGGAAAACAGGAATATCAGTTCGCCCTACTACTACTACTACTACTACTACCACTACCACTACCACTACCACTACCACTACCACTACCACTACCACTACCACTACCACTACCACTACCACTACCACTACCACTATCATGTTAAACTACTAACCATTTTGACCCATGATAGACCGAGACTCAGTTTGGTTTTTGCTCTACATATTATGAGCACTCTATTTTACAGGAATTGAGAGCGTGTTACATCTACTATTGGCTATTTTTTTCCGTGATGGGCTGTTCTGCGTCATTTCCGAATCATACCACTCCTTGGAAAAAACCAACTTGCGCCCCAGGGGATTTTCAAATTGCTTCAGTTTCTTTATCGCATAACACGAAGAACACTTTACGAGAATCATGGAAACTCGTGGAACCAGTTAAAACCGAGACAGGAAAAGCTATGTTTATGAGGTAAGATAAGCAAGTGATCTCGACTCGGCGGCAGTTTCTCCCAGCGTTTATGTAACTGAGCTTAGCATGTTCTAAAAAGTCTTCTGTGCTGAATTTCACTTTGTTAATATAATTAATTATGCTGTTCAAGGATGAAGTGGAAACAGTTTAAGTCTATAATGCAGAAATCCATAGTGCCCACCTTTCAAAGTGAAAGCCGTTACTAAGCAGTTTAATTTTCCTGTGGTATATGTTTATATCTATAGCACAGGTGTATTTTCAGCTTTAAACCCGATGGTGAATATAGTTTTTAACGTTAAGGCTTTTTTAGTTCACCATGCTATAGCATATGATATAGCCAATTCATAGATGACGCTGGTATAGTGTTGATTCTTTCTCGTTGTAAAAAATTTACTCGAATAAAATGAATGAAAGTAAACCCTCAAATCGGTTCCATGTTTCATTCAGGTGCCAGTATATTTAAAGCCGTCTGTATTTAGTTAACACTGACGTCAGATCACACAACAAAATATTTATTTTTCGGCTCAGTCCTTCTTTATATTGTCAACTTTTTCCCGCTGACTTTCCAACATATAATTTCTCATAATTTGGGTACTCTTCAACTGATACTAGTGTTGCAATTAGAATCTTAACTTAAGGTTTTGTGCACCTGGAAAAGTTCAAATGAATCATTTTAAGCAGGTGTCTTCATTGACTTGTTGTAATATTTTACGCTAGAACGAATAATCAAAAGTGCATCCATAGGCTTAGTGAAGAAGTCCCATTGAATGTTACGGGAGAAAAACGTCGAAAAACCTGACGTAATGCCTTCCTGAACGAGTATTCTACAAGAAAATCAAAGTATTTTTCGACTGGTTTTGCTCGAGAGTGTTAATACGGTTTGACCGATAGAAAGAAAAAACATGAAAATGCGTAAGTCACTGAAACCTAGGAAATAACAGTTGTTAACCAATATAGATCGTTTGATTAAACATGGTGTGTGACTTAAGAAAAGGAAAATAAATGCATGAATAGTAAAAACAAAGTAAGGATGTTTTGGGTTTAATTGCAATATACATATTAATCGACATTTGTTAACCCTTTTCATTACTATTTATGATCGAGGATCCACATACGGGACATTGAGAAAACCGAGGTGACAGTACTGACGCGTATTTCACATTAAAGAGAGTTCCACTTTTAAATAGCGTTAACTATGTGTAAATTCAGACCAGAATTCGTAGAAACTAAAAAATTGAATTGTTTTAAAATAGCAAAAAGAAGTCGCTATCGTATGATATCACAGCCGAAAAGACTTTGGATTGTCACAACATACACCACTTGGTCCAAACCGTATCAAAAGAAAGTACTGCTCAGTAGCTTTCCTTTGAATGGTCACACCATAGGATTTCATCCACAGACTCAACAGTTGGAACCACCTTGTACAGCATAATAAACAGTACCACAGGAAAGTACTGCTCAGTAGCTTTCATTTGAATGGTCACACCATAGGATTTCATCCGCCTTGCGTACAGCATGATAAACAGTACCACAGGAAAGTACTTCTCAGTACCTTTTATTTGAATGCAATGATTACATTTTACACCAATCTAAATCTAAGGATGAAATGTTTAACACAATCTTCTTATGTTCTTTAGACTTTTTAAGACTCATCCAAACATCCAAGACACATTTCCTTCATTTAAAGGCGTCAGTCTTGACGAACTTATGAATTCCCGCTCGCTCTATCTTCATGCCAACCGAGTCATGGCTGTGGTAGAAAACGCCATCTCCGCTTTAGATGATGCTGACGAGGTTGTAGAGTCTCTTACAAATTTGGGTAAAAAACATCAACCGTGGTCACTCACACAGGAACACTTCAGGGTAAATCACTTTTTTGCCGTTATAATACCATTCATTTTTGCTATTGCCCATTGGAAAACATTTAATTCTTTTGTAAACATGTAAGCCATAGAAGAAATTTGCTCTTATTTAATTAAATTATTTCCTTGATCCTCGCGCCTCTTTCGATGCAATTTGATAATAACTGGACCATTTTTGGCCGTAGTAGACTTTCAGGCTATTTATAGATACATCTATTGTGCCGAAAAAACCCAGCCAATCAGGAAAAGAGCATTATTTCCAGAAAATTGGTGGATGGCAAAGTATAGAAAAGTTACTTAAACCCATATATTGGATAGTAGCTCAGCGTCCACCCAAGTTAAGAGTCATCAAAATCAAGCAAAGAACAGATTCTATTTATGACAAACAAGGTAAATGTTAGTGAGAAAAGAGCAATCTAGTTGTGTCACACTTCTTCAGTGACTTAGTTTCAAAGGCGCGCAATCTCGTAATAGCTGTTGAAGGAAGCGATACTGTTTCCAAAACAATCTCAGTGTGTACTTTGACACAAGACAGAACTTCCAGGGTGATGAGATCTTGCTTGAAAAGTAACTTAAATATTTTCGTTCTTCGAAATCGTCAGGTTCTGGGTGATGCACTTTTGTGGGCGCTACAGGAAATGCTAAACACGGAGTGCACGAACCAAGTCATAGAAGCCTGGAAAGAGTTGTTTAAGTTCATCACCAGACCAATGCTGAATGGTGTAGAAGGGGACGTTTTCTAGGACCAAATATATTGGTCCAACATCATTCAAAATTCCCAGTATAATACCCAACGTCGCCCGTCATGGGCATCATTCTTGTCGTCAAGTCCTTTATGTCAACACGATAAAAATTTAAAGAAGACATTGTGTTGGATCCGATGCGTTTTTCCAACATCATCCTGCAACAACCAACATCTCGCCCAGAAAAGGTTCAAATGGATTAAGTTTGACCAACATCGTCATATGCTAACTTTCCGTGTTGTACTGTAGTACATATCTATGATAGAGATAAATAGTCAATCGTTGAAGTTGCCTGATGAGTGTGGTCCTATAATTTCGGACCATACGAAACAGCACTGTCGCAATAAACGATGATTACTCCTGAAGCCTGAACTCCTTTGAAGTTATAGCCAATGCTCTTCAATAAAATGAATTGAGCACTGTACGAAATACATTCTACCCAGAATATAAGTATTCATCATAGAAATGTTTATTTTAAATGTTTCAAACTGAGAAATAAAGATTCTTCCATGCTCTGTTGAAGTGTCGTTTTTAAAACGTATTTTTTACTGCTGTATTCCTGCATAGGTTAGCAACATTAGTTAGGGGATAGAAAATAGGATAGGATCTATTTAAGGCCATCCATTTCTACTGTATACAACTACAAGAAATATCATAATTAATAAAAATACATCCAGTGGTTGGACACCAAAAATAACTATAAAGCTAAACTAGTAGGTGACCACGATCATTAATCATAATAATTGAAAATATACAAATTATAATACAAAAAATTTAGTAGAAGCAGTAGCAGTTGCCTTGTTTCTGTGCTGTTTTTAATTTTAAATAGCTTTGAAAATAGTCGAAGTAAAAAAAATAAAGGTATAAGTAGTTTTTCAGCACATGAATTTCTTTCACAGCCCCAAGCTGCTGAGATCCTAAAGGATCCCGTGATTCAATATGGCGGAAATTCGGATGTCATGACGTCATGACGTCATGTGACCTTCGTTCAGTCCAAATGGTAAAAAAGGGGAGTAGACTAAAAAAACTGTAGAGTTTTCAAATGCGCATACTTTTTCTCACGGGTACTCGTCTTATTTTTCGGTTGAATGATAACTCTTTTCGAAAAAGAGTGATAGGCTGGAATATAAACTAAGCGCGTACGAATTTATGGACTATTTGGGGGGACGCGAATGTAAACAAACATGGCTGAAAGCGAAGTGGAATGTTTCACCGGGGTTAAAACAGCTCAAAATAACAAAACGGAAGGTGGAATTGAAAGATAACACCTGAAAATGTGAAGCTGAAGGAATATGTGCCTGGGGCGATTTTATCTCGCGAAAAACCGGAAAAATGCACCGTGAAACAACTTCAGAGATGACTTCTTTGCTGTGGAGCCAAAAACAACTGGAAAGAAAACGTCTTGCCTTCGGTATTCTATAAAATGCCGGATCAGGGGAGTTCCTAAATGCGAGCGCGCTTAGTTTGGGTCCCGGCTATCAAAAGCTATTAAAAGCACGTGAGCAGTGATCAACTTCATAACAGTTTCAAACGTTTATATATAGATTCTTCATTCCGTCGACAATGCAGACCAGTGTTTGTAATGATTTATTTACATCAATGAGTTGTGATTTTCGTGTGCTCGTTCCTTTCCTGCTAACATGGTAGCGGTCATAAACCCAAATAGTTCTGTCCAGGCATGCGCAATATCTTCTGTGTAGTCCGTCTTCAGTAGGTCTTTTAATGTGAGAACTAAGGCTTTTTCCATAATCTAAACAGAAAGAAAAATATGCTAGGAATAAGAAGACCTCTTAAGCCCTGCGAAAACGGACGCAACATTGTTGGATGTTACACGTTGCCTCCGTTTGCACACCCTGTTGCATGTTGTTGCGTGTTGTTGGGAGTTGTTGCGCAAAGTTTGAAACCCTTCAAACGTTTATCTACGTGGAAATGGACGCAACAACTCCCAACAATGTTGGGAGTTGTTGGCCAACCATGTTGCGTCCGGGTGTTTGCACGGGGCTTTAATCAAACAAGATGTTGTAAAAAATTAAATCATAAAAATGTTGCATGTTATAATTTTAGTCAAATATAATAGCAAATTATGTTGAAGCCTAATTAGTTAATGAAACTGCAATTTCGGATCAAGGGCTAAAAAGGAAAATGCTGACATAATCACGTAGATTCTGCTGGCTGCTTTGAAGCCCTCGACTCGAAAGTCAAACGTCCACGAGCCTGACTACATCGCTATGTTAATCTTGATATAAACTTAACCAGCCTCAGTGAGTGGCGATCATTATTTTATTTTACATCTGTACAGGTTTCCTTTGACTGAGCTTAACTTATCGCACCTTAAAATGTTTCTCAGTGATTGATATTGCAATATGTCTTTGCCCCAGGTCTGTTAAACGTTCAACAATCTCTTGCCCATCTTCAAGCGAAGAAACAGCTTTCTCCATCGCTGCCATCAAACGTTTTGCGTGTAAAAATAAAGATCGAGAGTTCATTAGCTCGTCAAGCGCGACCCCTCTGAATGATGGAAACGTGTCTTGAATGTCTGGATTTAACTCAAGGAGCCTGTAAAAACGGAAAACAGAAATATCAGTTTCCCCTACTATTACTACTACTACTACTGCTATAGCCTGCGCGCAGACGAAATTAAACTCTGGTTAACTCCGTCTGCGAAACAGCGCCGAAATCCTTGTTCTGGACTTCCAGCTGTGTACCCAGATTTGAGTACGCGCCACGGTTGGCCAGTTCAAAAAGGCCTTTGTTTTGTTTGTCGTGATCGCCAATCAGGTTGAAGGGAAATTCGAAACGCACTTCCGGTAATTCGTTGAGTCCGTTGGGGGTTCAGAACAAGGATCTCTGCGCTGCTTCGCAGACGGTACTAATCAGAGTTTAGTTATCGTCTGCACGCAGGCTACTACTGCTACTACCACTACCACTACCACTACCACTACCACTACCACTACCACTACCACCACCACTACCACTACCACTACCCCTACCACTACCACTACCACCACCACCACCACCACCACTACTACTACTACTACTACTACTACTACCACTACTACGGCCGAGCAAGAGAACGCCGCGATTCAGCACGCCCCTTCCAGGTCTCCCTATCCAACATAGCTGTTCTCAGCTCTTCCTCACTTTCCAAGCTGGTATCGCTTTTCAGGTTATCTATATATTAAGTAACAGCTGGTCTTCCGATGTTCATGCATCCACTCATTGGCTGCCAAAGTACTAGTTTAGATGCTTCCTCTGCCGGGTGTCTTAAACAATGGCCGGCTAACTTCAACCTTCTGAAACCCACTTTTGATGACACTGGTGGTAAATTGCCCTATCTACGGTATTCCAAAACAGACTTTGTTTCTGGATTCCACGCTTTCAATTCTGGATTCTAGTTACTGGATTCACGATTCCTTTGAGTCCGGATTCCAATTGTTAAAAGGATTCCAGATTCGTTGAGCTGGAGTCTGGATTCCAAAGTCCAGGATTCCAGATTCCACAAGAAAAAGTTTCCCGGATTCCGGAAGTTATCCAGAGCATGTGACGAATCATTATTCTTTAATAGATCAAATTTGTAGGCGATTTATTTAAGTTTGCTCAAAACAGAGTCCCAAAACAGCAGAAGAGATTTTCGGGTAATCCTTGACGTTTACGGATCATTTCTTAATTAAACAGTTTCTGTAGCAACAGCACAACCTAAAGCTGTCGTTTTACTTTACTTAAAAGGAAGCTCTGTGGCCCTTTTTTATTTTTTGAAAGTGATCAGCATGTCAAGATACAAGATCACTACCTTCCATTTATAAGTCCAGTTAAATACCTTGTAAATATGGTCTTGCCCATTGCATCTTTCATATTTTCCAGCTGTTTCCAAGATTCTCTCAACAACGCTTTGTCTTCATTAGAAATTGGTAGTGAATAGTGTTCGTTAATTAGGCTGACATCCTTGGGGAAGATCTCTGCTTGATTCTTCAAGTGCAGAGATTTCACACAGCCCATTATCACAGAAAATATCCAAGCTGTGCTGAAATCACTGCGTAGAAAAAGAAAATTATCAAAAATCACCAGCCATTGAAAGTGACGATCTTATCTGATACAGGAAGCCCTGGATCCCGTCAACCTCTTTAATCTGTACACGAGGCCTGGATGATCCCAATGTATAATTTTGCACATCATCTTTAGTACACTTTGTTTGCTCATAAAAATTTTGCCTAAGCATTGTCTTAATTATCTTGGGACGGCTGAAATATCCAAGAGAAATAAGAAACAAAGCTTACGCAAAAGTTTGAGGGGCAGACAAGGTTTATTATGGGAGACATGCAAATGGTGAATTGTGGGATCGCGACTGAACAAAGGTCATTGTTTTTTCGAACTCCGCTATGTTTTGAGGGACGAATTTTTGACCTGGTCCGCTGCTCAACTTCTAAATTATCAGTCAATGAGAACCTCGTGCCAAGGGTCATCTCGCCGCGTTTTCCAATATGCAGCCGCCATATTGGAAAACGTGAAGACCCTGGGGACATCCGCAGCGTGCGTGCTACTCGGATCCATTAATCCTGTCGCCAATGATGAATAATTTTGTTTTTGTTGTATCTTTTTCTACGTTTTCTACCCAACCTGGTTGTCTCTTCGATCATTTGAGAATTTATAGAAAAATCGACTCGAAAAACGGCTCAAGTTTGACTGACGGCTCAAAATTGGCTTCCTTTTCCAGTATCAGATGAAATGCTACTTTTCGTGTTCAATACATCTCATATATATTTCAAACATATAAAAAAAAGTTTTCTTAAATTAGGAATGTTGATGAAATTTCGATTACGTATCTTGTGTCCACTGTCACTGAACTCATGCAAACAAAAACGCTTTCTTAAAATTGCAAAAAGGTCAATTTGTTTTGACTTTTGACAAACGCTGGTTCAATAACTTATTACTGAGCAACAGCATCCTCGTTTCTTTTTTTTTTTTTTCGTTTTCCTTCCCTCTGTTTTGTCATGATAAAAAGCGCCGTCTTTTGTTTTCTTTGATCTCTAGGTTGATGATAAAGATTTCAAAAAAGACGTAATTTTCTCATAACCATTTGAAGAAATCCATTTCGTGAGAATGAAATAAAGAAAATAATAACGCGGTACTTAAAATAAATAACGAGAACTCAGTACTTTGAATTATAAGATGCAAATATGAAAGCGAACTTCATCAAGACAATGAATAAGCAAAACATGCCATCCTGAGTAAACATTTACTTTTACCGTTCTAGAACGAAAATCTCTAACTAGGATAACGGTGAAGATATGGAAAACAACTTGCCAGTTTATAGGTGAAGAAATTACTGTATCATGCTAAGATTAAAACATAGTGCAAACACGGCGTTCACCTGCAAACAAAACAATGTATTTCCCTTGTCATTACCGTTCTTTTACGATTAAGTAAATCTCGAGTGAAAATGAAACACAACACACCTTGTAAAGTTGCCAGTTTAAAGGAAAATTCACTTTCACTGTCTGAAATTGAGAAGGAAGGCTGTAACACTAATAAATGTTGATCCGATATGCGTACTAAGTACGTCACGACAACTTGTAACGATTTTCCACTGAGTTAGAGAAGAGGAAAATAGAATACTGAAAAATTTAATAAAAACGACACGTACGTCACTGCCACCTATCCTTTGAAATAAAAGGTGTGTTCAAAATATTAATTTTCACTTTACTTTAGAGGCTTCTCGTAATAAAATGACCATGCACAAACTAAATGTTATTAACATTGACACAACGCTTACCTTCACTTAAAGACAAAAAAATCTATGTAGTTGTTGAGGCCACTTCGTGTGCCGAACCTATTAAAGATACAACGTTTATTTTACCGGATATATTTTGATGTTTATGACCAAAAAACATGCTAAACGACTACGATATTTGCGTCGCGCGGCAACTGTGCGTGCCAGGTCAATTTACACCAAAAAAGCAACTGCTATAGGTCGGTTGTACATTAAATCTGGCAAAATGCGGCCCAATTTATTTCTAGATCTATTTTTTCTTTGTTTGCAGCTCCCTGGGTTGTTTGTGGATTCATACTGCTTTTTTACTGCTTTTTTCTTCCAGATTGTGTTTTAATTACTGTCGTTAATGTAATGGTCGTTACAAACGAATCAGCCAATCACCAGTCCTTGAAAACATTTGGTTCATTCAAGGCGCGGAAAATTGTAAATCCGGTACCATTTATGCGAAAAACCTGACCGACGTATTTCACAATAGAAGTGCCCGATATATATGTATATATGTACAGTGTTTATATCAATCAAAAAGGATATTTTACGAAAATCACGTTATATGCATAAGTTCTTAATTATTGCTTACTCTTTGTTGTTATACTGATCAGGGAGAAACTTGGAAATTTAAAACCAAAATTGGCTTTGGAACAGCCACAGGATTACCAGCTGAAGAACGCAAATGTCACAGTAATTTAGTCCTTATTTAGTCTTATAATCGAACTGTTTCTTCATGGATTTACAAATTCTGACAAGGATTGCCAGAGTGAAGGATAGCTTTATCCTTAGCCTTTGTTTGTTTTGCAAAAAAAAATCTGTCTACAGGAAGCAATTTCAAGTGGGATTTTTTTTCACTTTAACCAAAATTTTCTCAACTGTCACCCAAGTTCAAAGAATATTTGGAGGCCTACAATATTTTGGCAGGCGATAAGATTCCTTTGTTCCTTGACAGGGCTATTTTTCGCCGGGTCATCTTATTTCCCAAACTTGACCATTGAAGTTCCTTTAATTGACGTTTTTAGTTATTTATTTATTTTTTTTTAACTTTTTAAACATTTTTTAAATTTTTTTCACAGAATACGACTTTATCACGGATTTAGCACTGATTTATCATTTAATCCGTGAGCCCCAAAATTAAAACATTGCGGCAATTTTGTAACGCAGGATTATAGTCATATCCTGCAAGTATATTTTGTGACTGTTTTTGCTGTTCACACCCTTACAGGAATGTGATTTTGTCCGCTTAATCATTAGATATAAAGTTGCTTCCTAAGCTCTATCTTGTTATACTCCCTGATGAAGTCTGCGGTATGATCAGACGAAACCGGTCGGAGAAATAAAACAAGTCAGGAGCCCATCAAATGATGGGCTCCTGAACAAGTTAACAACACTCGCGTTGCTTTCTGCTGCTCACTAGCGTTCATTTAAAAATTTTAAAAAATTAAAATTTAATAAAACTTTAAAAATTTTAAAAAATGTCCGCGTGATTCAGATACCGAGCAAGGTTGCAAAAACGAAAAATTGCTGTTTACAAAAATATCTAGTTTTTTGCAAACCCCAGCAAAGGTTATTTTTCTTCATAGTGCGAACAGGACCTAAGTCATAAGATAAACTTGAACAACCAAGGGTGGCTGTCCGATAAACCTAAAATACAATTAAATTCTTTAACAACTGACCTCCAATTGCCAGTGCATGACTTTTGTCTGGTATGTTTTTTTTAAACTAGTAGTCTCGCTCTTTTGGACGGTCTATGCATGACAAAAGGCAATTCAAGATGGCGGCGGATTTAAAACTATGACGTCATTCTACGTCATAGACCTCATTACCCCACATGGACAACCTTAGCGTTTGGAGCGTGGGCATTTTGATACGTGCTACAAGTAAGGCTTTTGAAATTATGCGAAGCGGGCGGTATTCTGTCTTCCCACAACACAACACAACACAGCACAATAAGGTCTGATATCCGGACTAAAGAGAGTACGTGGGTAACTCTCAAAAACTACAAGATATGAATTCTTATCGGCAATTGAACATGTGCTTCATGTTGTAATGTCAATTAAGTCGGCATTTTTTGTCCTTTCAAAAGTCACTCGGCTTGAAAGTAGGTTTGATCGTTGTTAGTCAGTACTTGAACGAATGCTAAATTTGAAAACATGGCGGAGCTGTTTCAACGCATGCATTGGAAATGGATTGAACTGTGAGCAGTCCCGCCTCAGTATACGGCTACGACGCATTATTATAAGAAGGTTTAAGGAAATAAGAGTTTTACAACAAATTATAAGTGCAATTTAATCGTCATAAGTATATTCTTTAGAATTTCCATTTTGCCTGAGGTTTTACAATCAATAGGATCGTGCTCAGGTGCATCTGATTGGTACGGTACAACGTGGCATCTTCGTTGACTTCTATTTTTTCACTTTCTACTGAAGAAATTATTTATTTTATACACTGGAAAATTAAGAGGACGAAGAACTGTGGTATGAGGATTACAAGCTTAGATTATTTTTTGTTTTTCATATGGTAATGATGTTCATTACAAATTGTTCGTTTTGCTATTTTTCTTTTTTATCTTTGGCGCGCTCGGCAATTTAAATTTATCCAAAATTCGATTTTTCCTAAATTCTAAAATATCCTAACCAAGGAGAAAAGAAAATACTAAAAATCATTTCAAAAATGAGAGTGGATAGTTACGTTCTTGTCCATTGATGAGCGTAGCTGTCTCTCTGCGTTATTAATTGCTGCAAAATTCTTTTTAACCTTGATAGGGGTCGAAATGGTCTTTAGATAGCGGTGTGTTTGAAGTAAGATTGACCTTCGTTGATTTCTTAAGTCACCTAATCATAATTTTAATGGCTTTCTACTGACGCTGTATAATGGCCACTGCAATTAATGGTACGTTTGCAACAACGCGTTTAAATCCGGAAACACAACTGAGATGATTTTGTCTTAAAAAACATTATCAAAACCATAGTAATATCGGTTTATGATACCCTTAAATCGACCCACGAGACCATGCTGTTTTTTTTTGTGCTAAGGATGTCACTGTGTCAACATAGAATGCGTTTAACTATAATATGATTTGAAAAGCATTGTCATAAATCTTTAGTTTTCCGTACTACGTAATCTCTGATCTCTTTCATGATACCTTTGTCACCACAATTTTTGTTAATTTCTTTATGTACACCCCTAAGCAACAACTGAATTTGCAAATATAGTGACTTTCCGTCACAAGGACCCTAAGTGACACGAAAGCTTCAATTTACACCCACAAAAGTGAAACGACGAGCATCTCCTTTAAATTAAATGGTTGTCCCCCCAGGTTTATAAATTAGAGGTGGGCAAAGTGTGCTCAAAATAATGAGTCTGCTATGTGATTCATACCGAATTTGAAATTTGCTCTTATAATCACTCAGGTAAGCCAGTCTTAAATAATGCGCCATTAAAGACGCGATTTTTCCTTAGTTAAATTTGACACAAATAGAAAAGGTTGCAAAGTTAGGTTAGCAGAACTTCGTGAAGACCATCAAGGGCTCTTCACACTGATATATTTGACATGTTCCTCAATTTGATTTCACGAGGTAATTTTATTGATGTCTTGACGTCGTGTTACGCGGTTTTTGAGTGCATATCTTAAATCTATCTTTAAAATGAGAGACAATCACTTCATTCGACCACAATTTGTAAAGTTTTTTTTTGTTTTATTCGCTTCGAGTACGAAATACTTCGAATTTATTACTGTAACCACTTAGAACAGAAGATAATACAGCACTTTATTGGGTTAAAGGTCGTTTATATGGTAAAAAAAATAATCACAAATGGAAAATTTCAAAAAGTTAAGGCTAAAATTTTCAAGATGAAACATGAAGCATGTGAGGCAAAGCGAAGCTCACGTTATAAAGCTTTTAAAGCAGCATCAACTCTCAATATTATCTTCACGCTGTTACATTTCTGATTAAAACACGCTAGCTCGTGTTCACTAGCAACGTCAGTGAAGCAGTCTCTGTGAAATACGGTTCATTTAAAAGCTTTCCACTGATCAGGCAACGCAAATTGTTTTGAACCATCAACTGAAGCTCACGCTTCGTCTGTCAGAGTCGGTGTCATATCTATCTGTTTTCGGCGGGAAACTCAGTTGATCATCCGGTGTTTTCATTTTCCACTAAATGAAATTCGACACTGACGCATTCTAAACTTAATCGGAAGGAAAATCCAACCTCAATTTGCACTATTACCTCTCAGAATTTCTCTTTTTTAATGACAAGACTCGCACTAGTTATGTGCGCTATCATTTGTGAGTTTAAGCAAAAATTTCAATTACGAACTGAATTACACACAACTGACCGACTCGCCGCACTTAAGTATGTTCTTTATTACAAGTCCAGAACATTTTCACTTTGCGCGGGCTCAAATTAAAAAGGGAACTTACTTAGTTTTTTATTTCGGCCCCCACAGCTAGAGCAAGTGTAACTCAATGCCAAAGAATTAATTCTTCATTTAGAAAAATTCATTTTTCAATTAGACTTGAAGCTCACAAAAGGTCCATTAGTAAATAAGAAATTTATTTTGCCCTGGTCAAAACATGTATAAATTGGTAGCCGATCGCGACGGATATCAAAACTTAAATGAGACACCAATCGCTAAAAAGGTGTTTGGTTTTTATTGTCCAAAAAATTCGCTGATACAGGTACGTGATGAATTGCACATTTACGCTATCATAATTTACGTATTTTAGGGCGTCTGTCCTACAACGTTTACACGCATTGTGTCGATTTCCTGGGCTGTATAAATAATGATCAGATAAAGTGTATGAAAAGCACTTCTTGCTGTGGCAACACATTTGTCAGAAGACCAAAGACTGAGTAGCAAAAAGGACAAAAAAAACTTGGAAGGTATTTTTCCGTCTTTTTCATTACTACATATGTGGGGGTGCATGATCTCTGTCTTATTTGATATATAGACTTAATCTGGTGTCTTTGGCAGTAATCAAAGCCTTCATATGACTCAAAGATTATTCACTGATTAAAACAGCTTTCAAAAATAGTCTCCAATGAAGATCCAATAGTGCATTTTAATTTTTTTGAAATGCCATAAAACGAAGTCAACGGAATGAAGAAATATAGAAGTTAAATTCACAATGAACACGCTATATATTTTGACCAGACTAAGCTGAACTTAATGGATTAACTATTAACAAAACCAAACAATTAAAATTTCATTTGGGATATACAGTATTTTCTCAGTTTTTAGTATTCAAACTCTTTTTAATATCTGTTTCATGTCTTATTCCGGAGCCGATTACCATTGCTGAGATAAAGAGGAACGACAACTTCCTCAAATAGTTTTCAAATGTAAACCATTGCCGGTAAGGCTTTTTTAGCCAACTACTGTAAATTCGGTGGAAATTGGTCAGTCAAGAGTTGAAAAACGCAAAATACTTGTGCGCAATGCGTTCAAACACAGTATTTCAAGGGCATCATGGTTCATTCTCAGTCTTACTGGTACAATTCCTTTCCTGTAACCATTTGCATTGTAATTTTTCCATTTTTAAACTCAGAGCTTCATTTTTTTATCATTTTTTGATAACTATATAAAGATCTCAAATACCATTAAAAACTTACGTGTTAATCGTAGCATCGGCAATGTAACGTTGTTACTTTAGAGGTTTTATTTGGTTGTTAACATCATTAGCGCTTATCTACAAGCTATATTTTTCAAGCTTGTTTATAACTCTTGAACGAAAAAACGCCGAGAATGAAAACCATAAAGAAGTTTTGAAAATAGCAACCTAGTTACCACAGACAAAATCTTACGAAAGTTTGCTTGAATTTTTTTTTTTGACATGCTGTAAAATAGACGAAGATCTAGGAGTGTTCCACATCGGATAAAACACCCTGTTCCGTGTTTGGTATATTTTTATCAATTGGATATCTGAATAACAAGAAAGCCGAGAAGAAATAAAACTCAGAATGACTGAATCATATCCTTTCAGCTTTTGACATTCGTTACATGAAGGAAAGATTTTATTTACAAGGTTCTGGTTATTTACAGGATAAGCATTACACATTACGTTACGGCAGACGTACAGGTCTGAGGAAAAAACGTTCTTTATATGTACATGTTTTGCTGTCTGAGAATATGTTTTAAAAACGCTTTGTTAGAACTCAAGTTGTGTAAAAAAGAGAATTGTGTATCATGCTTCATTTCCCGAAGACAGCGGGAATATATCCGTTTTCAAGAGCTGATATCATATAAATATTTGTTGGAATTGGGGTAACTGCCGATAACCTCAAACAATATCTTTTTCCAAAAAGCTGGTCAATTCCATTGCAGCATGAATTTTTTAAAGTCATATGATTTAAAAATCTTCCGTATTCGTTATTCAGTTGTTTGACCTATTCTACTGTTATTGATAAGTTTTGATTATTTTTCCTTCCTCTTGTGATAAGAAGAAAATGCCAAGTTGACATGGCGGATCCAATATGGCGGATTTAGAAAATTGTCAGGTAACATTTTTTGCAATGACCGCTTTTAAAAGCGCCACTGACTCGGTATCCAAGAATGAATTCATTAAATATATATACAAATACAAACTATTTCATTCTAAAAATAAAACGAATACAGGTGAAACTCTGCAGAACGGCCACCTTGGGAACAGAAGGAAGGAACATTGTGGAGAGGTCAGAGTGTGGCTTGTCCGCCAAAACAGTGGCCGTTGTAGAGAAGTGGCCGCTGTGGAAAGGTGATATACTGGGAAGGCTATCTTCGCAGGGTTATATAGTGTGGAAAATGAAAGCTCCTCCGCAAAGACCAGGAGAGTGGAGAGCGCAAGTTTTTTCTTTTCACGTTGATTGAAGGCCTTTTAACATCGTCGATAAAATAAAACGGAAAAGCTTGTTCCACGCTTCCTCTGTTTCGTGTGTCCACTGGTGATTCAGTAGTTCCTTCAAAGTAAACATTAGTGATTCTTGCATCGCCTGTGAAAGAAAGTAAAGGAAAGACTGAAAATTTTTACTCCTTGATCGAAATAAGGTGAAGTGATTTGCCGTTTTAACTTATGAATCTGTGGATGAAATCCAATCTCGTCCCTGGCTTTTTTTTCCCTCACGTTGTATGAAATCATATGCTGTTACCATTCAAGCACTATGTCCAGAAATGTAAGTAGGAAGTTAGGTACTTTATATTAGACACAATTATTTGTAAAAACTTGGTTGTTTTTTTTTTGACCAGTAAAAGAAGTTTGTAAATTTAAATTGTGTAAACGAAGACTTGTTCTTTGTATACAGTAGAACCCGGTATCTCGAACTCTGAAGGAAAACGAAAAAAAAGTTCAGTGAAATTTTGATCAATGGAAAGGAAATTTAGTTCGAGTTAGCGGGGGATTCCGGCGGGCAGTTATCCGAGTTCGAATTTTCGAGGTTTTACTGTATTTTCGTACACAACTTGAAATGTGAAAAGATTAGACTACTCAATCTCGTTTTCTAAGAGTCAAATATTTACTCACTGAAAACTTAAATATTCAGTTTAGTATTTAATGATGCTTATTCATGGTAAACATGAAGCATTCACTTTCGCTATTCTTGGAAGGTGCCCACTTAGATAGTTACTATTCAGTGTTTCTTACATCAAGATGGGCTGGTTTTAATGCTCGAGTCTTGTGTCTCCTTCCCAGTTCTTCGAGGTAACCAGCAAAGCTGAACGCGTCATCCAATGAGGTGACTGCATTTTCGACAGCTTTCATAACTCTTTTCGCATGACCGTACAGCGCTGTAGTCTTCTCGAGTTCTGATGGCTCCATTCCTTTGAATTCTGGAAACAGCTTTTGGTAATCAGGGTTTAGCTCAAAGAATCTAAAAGTTCGGAACATACAGATTAATTGTTACAAAGAGTGCAGGAAAAGCGGTCTTCCGCGGTACTTTTCAACTGTCCCTCTAGCGGGAGGTGGATGGGGGTGGTTATATACCGAGGCGCAAAAGTTCTAAGATATATATTGAGTGCTATGCACCAACAATGAGAGAGGTAGTTGTTTTAGTTTTCACCAAATCAGTTGGATAAGACTAAGAATGTAATTTTTGAAAATAAAAGACGTCGCTTAGTGACAGCTTTTGTTTACGTGAAATTGACATTGCTTCCGGCTTGGATATGTCGGGTGAACGTTTAGGTTTTTTTCCTTTTTTGCACATCTAGAAAATAAATTATATTCTACCAGCCATATTTTGTCACTTTTTTTATATTTGTTGGTACAGCTGCTTCAGTTGTCGCTAAAATGTCGTCTTCCGAAACTGTCCTCTCGAAACGGTACGCCATCTTGACCCCTGGCTCAAAAGAGCGAATGGCCAAATATACTGCCATTTACGAGATCCATATGCATTCAAAACCTCGCGCAAATTGCTATCAACTGATTTAGTAAATGGTAAATATACATATCGTGGCAAGGTGTTTTTAATGGTAGGTGATACACACTGACCAAGTGAAAACAGTCAAAATGAAGGTGGTTTACCGCGGTAGCGGCCATGTATAGTGAGTCTTTTAGGCGGGAAATGTTTGAAGCTACGCTTCTGATTGGATGGTTTGTCGTGGAATCAACAGCTGTCACTCGACGTCAAGGTCGCTTCGTTAAATTATTTTCACGTTTCCATATTTATGCCCCACGGAAAATTTATTTAGAGGAGAGAAGGCCACCTACATTGGACCATTGTCTTGCTCAGAATAAACGCTACTCGGGACTTTAAGATGCCACGACGGCGACGACAACGAGGACGTCAAAAAGGCAATTGGTTAAATAGGCAAAACAACAACTCTGCACGTGCATCTCGCTTTTTGTACATTTCTTTGTCGTTACTGCACGACTACGACGGGACAAAAACCTAATTTCACGTTTTATGGACCACGTAAACAAGCGACGGCTAAATTTTCTTTCTCTTTCTGAACTTGAATATGATTCTTAGGAATTAGCGGCTCAAAAAGAGTTCGCTTACATTTGACAAAGTAAATGAAATGGAGTAATCGTGATAAAGATTGAAAGAACGCAAATCCACTTTTTAAGCGACGTTTTCGTGGCCGTCCTCGTAGTGGTATCTTAAACTCCCTACTCATAACACAGCTCATCCATTCTAGCAAAGTTTTAAATGCAAATGACATCAAATCAAAAGATTAACAACAGGTGATGACAGTGGCTTTTACCTGGGAGGCTTATTATTCCCCTCTTAAGTTAAAAGTGTTGTATTCATGAAAATGACAAAGACTGCTGAGAGAGGCTGTAGTAGTTAATTGGATCGATGATCCACAAATTCGAGTTTTTGAAAATAGATGTTGTACTGGTCTATCTATGTTATGTTAATGTGAAGAAAATTGAATTACGAAATAAAAGCGTAAACTCTCCCGAAAGCATTACCACAACTTGACAGGAGGTAATATTTTTCACTTTGGCGTATTTTATTACGTTTCCCTTAAACCTATTGACGAAGGCAAGGTGCTTTTTTTCGTTGCCTATTAGTTAATTAAAAGTAGAATTTTGAAATTAAATTTATATCTTTCTGTTGAAAAAAGGCTCAGAGGGATCTCAAGCAATCTTAGTAAAAATATTCGCTTCCAACGCTTTTTTGCACTCTTCTTCAAAAATTATAAGAATAAACTATAGAAGATAAATATAAATCTTAAAAGCGTAGTCCATTTGAAGTATGACAATTTAAAATGAAAGCCAACAAAAGCCTTTAGTTGTTGTTTTGTATATTTAATTAATTTTGATATTTTAAAAGACAATTTAGGCGACTTTTTAATTTCAATATGGACTTTCTTAGCACCAGCTAAGGATATTAGTAAAGGAAAAACATTTAAGCTACCGGTTAGAAAACTCCTGGATGTTCCTAAATTACTTTTGGCTGGTTAAACGTTCCGTATATTTTATTGCTTTCTTCATGTACCCTCTCGACTCGTTACGTACCAACGTTTGTTTAGAAACATTAATTTGCTTTCTGTCGTTCTCGAAATATGCCGCCAAAAATACTCAGTTTTAGTCACTATTTTCGTTTCTTTCATTCAATTAAGTGTTGTGTCACCACCTTCAATTTCCAGAGCAAGTCACAGAGTGGAGACATTTTAAAAATACATGCATGATCATATCTACTTTTGACTTTGTGGACGGAAGCCAAAGCTTTCAAAATTTCATCCCAAGTCGTGTTTCGTTAACTGAGCTGATTTCGTGGCGGTACTTGAACGCGGTACAAAATATCTTTCAATATCTCACGATGAGAAACTTGTGTAAAATCTCTACCTAAAACTACACCGTCTGCTACGTAAAAACGTTTCAAAGCTTGGCCATCTTTATTTGTTGCCGTCGTTCTTGAAATGTGTCAAAACGCAAAATGTTCCGTTTAATATGTTTCCACGGCTGGTTCCGGCAAAATCAGACCCGGTTTTCTACATAATATATATAACTCGTCATAGGCTTAACGTGAAAGCTTGATATCAATGAATGCTAAACCGTTGAGCAAGTTTTTGACACCTGGTATCAGTGCTTTTACGATCCTGTTCTCTCGAATTTTCCCTATTTGCCTGTTTACTGTTCAAATAAAACCTGAAATTCGAGTAAAAACATTTAAAAAAAGTAACACTGGCCGGGAATTAGAAGATAAAATCGACGAAAAAAATGATAATCTGCACTACTTAAAAAACCCGTAAATTACAAAGGAATCTGGAATTTAAGTGCACACATATAGCCGATTTCTTGTAACAGGTACAATTGATTTCAGGTGGCAAGGATAGCTTTATAGGCCACGGTTCTTCCAACACTTAAGGGTGGAAAAAAATCAACAGGAAATTTTTCGACGTCCTATTTATTACAAGTCTACATTGACTACAAGACGGTCTCCCTCTAGATAAAGTAGAACGTCTGATTGTGTTAATTTTGCGCATCGAAAATACACCATTGTCGTCATTTATTATAGAATAAGCAAGAAGCATCGCTAACGCTTTGCATTTCTAGATAAGCTATAGGAAGGGAAAAGCAAATTATGCATTCGTGTTTTAAAGACTGACTTAATGTAGATTCCAAGCCAGCGACGACTAGCAACAGAAGGACTATGGGCAAAGGCATTAAATTAATACAACACAACGGCTTTGCATGCACTTAACATCAGTGTTCATTGTTTTTACAATGCTCTGTGGTACTGTAAAAAAAAAAAGAACGACATGAGCAACCTATAGATTTTTTAGGAAACGACAAACGGAGAAAATCGGTGTAGGATGTAAGGTTTTTTTGGGAAAAATAAAACTGAACTTTATTTACAGCGAAATCGTCTCATAGCACAGGGACACAAATACACAATGCAGATCTATACGAACTGCACTGAGATAAAACATGCTCGCGATAAGTCTCGAGATTAAATCCAACTCAAAATTTAAACGCAGGTTACCTTAGAAACATCTTCTTTCCGACGTTGTTTTTATGCTGATCGACCGTTTCCCACGTTTCTCTCACCAGCGATTTCTGAGTCTCAGAAAGAGGCAAGGAAATGTGAACTGCTTTATGACCCATGGAGGACGCACATCCCATGATATAACAAAGTTGCTAAGGGAGCGATTCGTTGACTCTCAGCTCTGCGTAAGACAAGAAAATATGTATTGAGTCTATTCATGAAAGGTGGCTCACTAACATATGTAAACTAGGTTTATGACATCGATATACAGCTGTACCATATTTGTCGCGCACTTAACATATCTTTCCCTTTGAACCACTACCTTTGACTCTCGCTCCTAACTCCTTGGAATTCTTCCTCAGCGAAGTACTGTTAATTCGCTTTCCCAGCAAATTAGACAGGCAAAATTACACAAGTCAACTAACAGCGCTAACCTTGCCCAAGCGGGCTAGTAGCAGACAAGTTTGTTTTCTTTTCAAAATGGATTCGGAAATCCCCGTTGAGAGGGTACATATTGGTCGATGTAGATGAAATTCAGTTTTATTTGCATGGCGCTTACGGTACAGAACAGATGTTTTCTGGGTTATTTTTAGGATTGATTAAAAAAACATTTACAGGAAACTCTAAATTACTACAAATATCACGTATATGAGAACAAAACTAAACCGAGATGGAAGAATGACTTTCATTGAACAAAAGTGGCAACGGTTCAGATTAACCTTAAAAACTTTACATATTTTTAAACAAATATGTTCCTTCTTCTAACAGTTTTCTGACAGTTTTATTCGTCGAAAATTAACATATTTCATTTTTTTTTTTGTTTAAATTTTGTTTAAATTCGCTTAAAACTTCCTGTCATCTTTCTGGCCACAACGAACAAATACTGCTATATATAAACGGTTGATTTTTTTTCCGATGTCGATGTTACAAAGAATTGTGTTTAACTAATGTTCTGGAAAATTCACTCTTAAAATGACTACTTGATAGATGAGCTTTCAATAATCCATTCATTTTCATTCCAGCCATTGACAAACAGAAAGCATTGTTAACAGTTTTATCCAACAATTGCATAGTGATGGTTAACCAAACTATGGACATTATTTTATTTTTAGTTTTTCAATTGATACAAATATGTTTGCGGCTTTTGGATCACGTGAGAGTGACATTTAACGAAGCTTCAACACAGACATAACATTGCTTTATTTATGAATGAGTTTGGAGATATCATTCATCCAATTGAGGATCCCAGACATGATACGCCTACACTTAGGTGAACTTGTCAGCTTGAGGTTAAACCTCATCCAATACGAAAAAAGCATTTTAATTTTGCAAAACCCGATATAAAACCCCTCTATTGTTTTTTCAACTTTTGGCTGGAAAGGACGCCTTAAAATCAATAAGGTTGCCGGCCAAGTTTGAAAGTGATTGGTCGAAAACTAACGGAGATACAGCTCCGCACATGCACAGTCGCGGAATTTTACAGAAGTGTTGTATGGTGGTGCGGGGAGGGGGGCAGGTTAGTGCCCCCCCCCCCCCCCCCCCCCCCCCCCCCCCCCCCCCCCCGCCCCCCCCCGCCCTCTTCCTCCAAACTTAAAATCACTTTTTTGGCAGCCCCTTTTATCCACTTGTTTTTTTTTTCTTTTTTTTTCATCTTTGATATACACACTTGTATATTTTAATATGCGTAATCACAAAATACCACACCAACTACATAAAGGAAAAGAACCCTTAAAAAAAAAAAGGTGGCCGGGAAAAATTGGAAAGGTTTGGGGGAAAAAAAACGGGGGAACACCCCCCCCCACGGACAAGCGGGGGATTTTTTAAAAGGGTTTTTTGGGGGGGGGGGGGGGGGGGGGGGGTGGTGCCCCCCCCCCCCCCCCCCCATACAAGCGTTCGTAAAATTTCGCGGTTTTTTGGAACAATTTATAAGTTCTCTTTGGACGAATCACTTTAAACCTTGGTATTAAGTTGCCTTATTTTCACAAGTTGAAAAAACCGTGAGTCTATATTGTAACTGGCCAAATAAGGACTCTCTACCTAATCCATACAGTTTGTACCAGGGTTTACTGAGAGGATTTGCCCAAGCGGAAATTGTTCTCGATGCCTAACGGACTGCTTACCAAATGAGAAAGTGTTCCGCACCCGCAATTACTCAGTCCACTTAGCTAAGAAAACTAAGGCGGCTTTAAATTAATATAATTGTTGACGGCAACATCAAATGCAAGAAGTTTTGGTAAAATGTGAACCGACTTCAAAACAGCGGAAACAAAATGTTGAAATTTAATTCCAGTCGAAAGAAGCGTAGACAAAATACTCCAAACAGGTTTTACAAATAGAACTGAAAAGAAACGAGTAGAAATGTTAATAACTGCGATCGCCTGCCGGAATCGGTGAAATTTTGAATAGGACAAGAACCAGCCGTTCAAACTAACTGAAACAGTTAAATTCAGCACGTTATCTATTGCACACGACGGTACACTGTACCTGAATTATTAACTCACTAACCTTGCTAGTACTCTGACTGTTGCCACTATAAACGGATGTTAAGAAATTACAAATACAAAGTTCTCGAATTGCATCTACCAGTTGAAATGTTAAAAACTGTGATGAGGCCAGATACGTGGAAATGAACTGACCTGACCTACGTTGCTAAGTAATGTTCAGTTCGTGCGTGTTCTGATGTTAATTATTTAAAAGTGCACTGATGACTTTTAGGGGCGCACTTAACAGCACAAAGCGTTGCACAGTGAAAGATGTTTTCCTGCAATCCCTGAATGAGCAGTCCCCCTTATGAACAAAGGCAGGGACAATTTTCTCGTAAATATTAGTACATTGAATTGCTGCCTACAAGAAGGAAAGTTGATTGCTCGACTGAAATTGAAGACGCTAAATTCAAGCTGTTATGTTTTTTCTCTTTTTAGGTGATTGTCACAATACAGAGCATGGGGTGCGGATCGTCTGTGAAATTTAAAGAGAAAAACGCTGCTTTAATTCAACTTTCTGCAGCTCAAAAGTACCTCGTTCGAGAAACATGGGAGCTTGTGGAACAACGTAGGAGTTATGTGGGAAAGAAGACGTTTTTAACGTAAGTATATACGTTCCTAGATAACTTGAATAAGTTAAAGGCCTTCAGTTGTCAAATTATATCGGCACTGATATCCAGTTGATAAGAAGGTATCTAACTAAAGGACCATCGCAAAAAGAATAAACAAATATTGATCGGAATGTTCCAGAAAAGCTTTATTATTCCACAATAGATTACTTAATGCTTAATGCTCTGTTGAAACCAAGCTCCTCCTTCATCCATTAATTACAACGTAACAGGCTGAAGCAAATTTCGCCACTAAAAGAGTTTTGAATCTGAATTGAAACACGAACTTAATTCATATGCATGCCAAAAATGGATTGTCAGGATATAACATCTCTGGGACTTTTTCTCTCTTTTTTGCGACTTTTAAACCAGCAATTTTTAAGATTAAAATCTAAAATAATTATTCATTTTTTTACGGTACTCTATTGAAGCAAATGGCGTGTTTTAAACTGAAAAAAAAAAAATCTCCAGACGGTCATTATAGGCAGTAAACAACTAACCCAGATCCATGCAACATAGCTTTATAATTCGTACGTCTTTTTGTAAACAGATATACCAACTACAAATCAAATAGTGTTCACGGTTACGTTCACAAGAGAATTATCGTCTTTCTTACCCACCTTTTTTCAGTAACGAGAGAAGCTCTTCTAGTTTTGCAGGTGATAAGATACTCAGATGTACCAAATGATTTGTTTTTTTTTAATGACTGCCTTTTTATTCATAGCGCCGGGGGTTATTGAAATAGTTTCTTCGCTTCCTTCGCATTAATTTGGCAATTTTATCTCATTATTACTTGACCCACGAAGCCAAAAAATTAAAATAAACAGTTCGTGTTTGTTGCTTCCACTCTGTTTGTAATTACAGTAGCTCATAATGTGTAATAATTAACAATCACAACCGACACGTAATAATGAATGAACTGGAAAATACAAGAATGGCAAAAATGTCTAGAAAGTTTTTTGAGTACTGTCAAATCCGTTGATTGAATTGATATAGGTTTGTAGAAACTGCCAACTGAGCTCTTGGGCAAGACGCATGACTAAAACCAGCTTTAAAAGTATACAAATAATTGTGAGTAATCTTCTCTTTCTGAGCCGTTCAACTCCAGAAAAAAATTGTCGAATTTTCACGGTAGCTCTTTCATTCTTAGCGATGAAATCCTTCGTCCAAAACATCCGTACAAATTATGAAGGAATAGAATTGTATCTGATTAGAAACTTGTGATGATACCTAGCTATGAATATTCAAGTGATTAAAAACATAAGCTAAAAGGAAGATACTGCCTGCATTTAAATGACATTTATTTCCTTTCACTTGAGCTTAAGATTTAAACTGGACAGACAAAATACCCGTTGCGTAGCTACTACGTACACGCCTTTTCATGGGATGAACATAGTGTAAAATGAATTGAAAGCGCACGGGATGTTCTATTTTGGTTGTTCATTTTTCGTTTTTCTTTTTTTAAGACAGCAATGAACGTTTAGAAAAGTTAAACCCTCTAACTAAGTAACTAAAGAACCAACAGCTAAATAGAAGGTCACTGATGATATATTTCTATCACGAGACAGAAAGAGTGTAAACATAGGAAGCTTTCGTTTTGGTTTATATTTTGCACATCACATAAGCAGCTGGTGTATTGTTCTTCTGACAAAAGCATTTACGAGAATTAAACCATGCCAATTTTATTATGATGTTACTCCATCAAGGCACTGATTTCAGGCTTATACTTATACTAAACGTCAATCAATTTTTATCCGATTATTTTGACGGCTAAAGTTAACCTCTGTAACTACACTGCCGATAACATAATAACGGGCAATAGAAATTTAAAATCTAGCTGCCTCAGATCGTAAAAGCAGCATTAAAGAGAACATTTTACGCTAACGCAATGTTTCAATCGAATTTTTTTTCAATTTTTTAATTTTTGTCGGCAAGTGGTTAAAGTGGCACTTCACTTTACTTCGATAAACAATTTAGCACCAAATGTTTCCTATCTAAGGCTGGAGAAAGAGCTTTTTTATGCTTATAGTCATTATATAAAACTAGAAAAATAAACAGGAAAAATAGTACACTAGGCGTGGTGGATTGCAAAAATCTATAGAAGAAAATACTTTTAATTTGCTAAACCTGAGGCCTACTTTTGAAAAACAAACTTTAGAATTATGAAACAATTTCTTTAGCCTCCTCTCTTGATTTCTCTATGACATCTGGTCTTGCATTTGTTATCATTTGGTCACAGTGGCCTGAGATCAAGCCAAGGTTTCCTCGCTATGCCTTTTTGCAAAACAGAAACATTAATTATTATTCTAATATCATAGGTGACGAATTACTCCTTAATTTTGGCGCGAAATTTCAGCGTTAATTTGTAAAGTAATTTCACATGTGCAATTACAAAATTGCCATGGCAACCCTTCCGTACGTCTCAGTGTCAAGATGGCGACGAAGTTTTAAAATGCCGTGAATGAAGATGTCAGTGCACAAAAAAACGCTTTAGAAAACCTGAACACACAAGAGAACATCAAGAAGGATTCTAACAGGTATTTTGCCGAAAAAGTCTGAAAACTTCTGAACTTTATAAGCCAAATTTAAGGTCTAAACATTTGAGAAAGTGGAGTTCTCGATCGATACAATCCAGGATAAACATATCAAAAATCCAAGATTGCTAACGTAATAATTCGTCACCCATGATATTAATAGGTAATCAAATGGTATACTCGTGAAATTAGGGAATAATTTCACTTGCGTTTTGTCCAAATCCTAATAATTTCCCTCGCCTGAAGGCTCTGCGTCTCATCCGCGACATATTACATCAGAGCACACAAGGGACACTATCCCTCGATTAGATAAGGACATCAGATACTTTTTTGTTCTTAGATTCTTTGAAAAAAATCCTGAATACCAGCGCCTGTTTCCAGAATTCAAAGACGTTCCGCCATCAGAGCTGGAAAAGACGAACGCCCTATATGGGCATGCAAAGCGGGTCATGAAAGCTGTCGAAAACGCAGTGTCGGCGTTGGACGATGCCGAAAGTTTTGCCGCGTATTTGGATGAACTTGGCAGGAGGCACAAAGCCCGAGCCTTAAAACCAACATACCTGGATGTAAGTGGGTCTTATAATCTTCTCGATTTGGTTTTTGCAAAATAGCATTAATTATTATTCATATTATAACATATTTCTCCGTTTCTGATGAGCTCAAATCTCTAGGCTAATTACAGTAAAATGGCGACAATAAAACAGTATTTCGCCATAAAAAGGGACGCCGACCGAGAGAGCCTGGGAAAAGGTGATAAAATTCACACGTTTTTCAGAGAAATGGCCAAACTACTGTCTGAGCACATAGCCAGAACAGCAAAAATAAAACTCTACGGAGGCAAACTAAAAAAAAGCCATTTGAAGAATATCTGGACGATGCTGAGAGTTTTGCCGCGTATTTAGATGAACTCGCAGGAGGCACAAAGCTTGAGCCTTGAAACCAGCATACCTGGATGTAAGTGGGTTTTATAGAACTTAGCTGGTTGTTTGCACGAATCAGACGGTTTCATCCCCAGAAATGCCCGAGGGTACTCAAAGAAGTTTTGTACAGGGAAGTTCCGCCCAGAGGTATAGCGGTACCCTTTTCGCATACTTCTACTGAGGAATGGTACCTCTTTCACATACCTAGTTAAGAATCGTAACTTTCTACATCTGCCCGTATTCTAACCTTCTCCAGTTATGACACAAGCGCTGATCCTCTTCTTGAGCAACTCAACTGGAAACGGTTGGATACTCAGCGACAAATACAAGTGGCCACCATGGTCTATAAATCTATACATGGACACTAAATATAATCCACCTTATAATTTAAGGAACTCTGAAAACAAACTAGCTGTTCCATTGCCCCGCACCAATTTCTTGAAAAATAGCTTTAGCTATAATGGTGCGGTTATCTGGAACAGCTTGTCCCCTAAATTTCGGCAAGCAAAATCACTTAAATCTTTTCGAAATGGTTGTCGCGATTTCTTTGACTGAATCGATAAAACGCACACGGCATCTATGTAAAGCAGAATTTTCTTTATTTTCTCTATCTTTACTATTTAAGTTTTTAGATCATGTTTATATAGTTTAAAGTAGATTGTAATTTTTTATTATTATTATTTTATCTGATAGATTTACCGTGTTTAAATGAAAATAAAGTTCAAGTTCAAGTTCATCTGCTTGGCATATAGTAAACACCGAAAATAAACGAAGTGTTCTGAAAAGGGTCTGATTTACAATTAAATTTGCAGACGTTTCGGGCTTGACGTTTCATTAGTAAAATGCTGATGGACTTAATTGTTGGCCTGTTTAGTCAGAAAATGAAGTTAGATTCGGGGTTAGATTACCGAAGGGTTTTAACCAAGCCAAAACTCTTAGGAACGTTGATTAAAACAGAGTTAAGACTACCACGTTCTGAGTCCTTCAGTTTTAATTTTTCCAACCGTGATATCTAAACATTGTATACTTTAAAATTTAAAAACTTACCCGTGTTTTCGCTTCCAGTCAATGCAGACCGCTTTGATGTCCACTCTTCAAGAACTTCTCAAATCCAGCTGGACCGAGGAAACAGCGGAGGCCTGGAACAAGCTCTTTATGTTTGTAAAAGATCAAATGATACGTGGCCTGCAGTCATAGCATGAGTATAAACAAGCAGTGTACAGTCTGGCCCTTATTTTGGGACCTAATCAGCCACTGATGCCATCCACCATCGCGTTTCGCTGAGAATATTCCATAGAAAGATTGGTATTCCTGCAACGGCGTAACACTAATTCACGTCAACACTTGGAGGCAGAAGGTGACTGGGTATTTGGCATCTTATCCAAACGCTTCCACTTAGAATGAGGCGTTCCTCAAGGATCCTGCATGGGAACGCTACTTGATAATATGTACACATATGGAGCTATCTGAGGTTCAGCATCATCATTCTTGCAGATATGCTTTGATTATAACTACCAGAATTCATTTCGTTTTTGCTTTCTTTTTGACATTTGTCAATCCCGCTGGGGTTTAAACAACAGTAGCCCTAAACTGTAAAAGAAAAACAACACACAAGAAGACTCTTGTAATTGCAATTGTCCTGATTAGCAGAAACGGAGAAATATTTAAATGAATAATAATAACCACTAATAAAAAATGATCTATCTGTAGTTTTCTTAGGCTTAGAGAAACTTACTGTGGTGAAAAAGAGACTTTCCATTAAAATACAACATTAACATTGAAAAAAACAATCGGCGACCATAAATATAAAATGCGTCATAGAGGGTTCGTACGTGTATCATGAGATAATATAATATATACGATACGATAATATATACGGGCAAATTGATCACGAAATTTATGACAGGTTGTTTGAAGTCTAGAAAAACCAACTGTTTGCAAACCTGTTTGTATTGAACAAAAGTTTGTATTGAGTTTGTATTGAACAAAAACTACTGAAGGGTAAGGTTCGGAGTAACGTAAGGTGTTGTTACACATTTAAACCGAACTTTTAAACAAAAGCAAGATTTGCAATCGGCTCGGTTCCCAAAATTAGCATAGGCACTGGAAATGCTTGCGACGACTTGTCCCGAAAAAATCGTAACTGTTCCAAAATGCAAATCACGCAATGAGGCGAGACAGGTGGAAAATACCTCAATTCATTTCGTGTAGATAAAGAACTTCATTTTTGACGTAATGTTTGAGCATGTTGCAATCTTTAACATGTAATGAAATCATTTATACGTACGTGATTATTTATTGAAAGCACATAGCATTAAAAAGCGTTGCTAGCTCTTCTCGCTTATAATTAGAAGTTTTCCTAGGCATCAGCGAAGTGTGAAGTGTGAGAAGTTCCTTCCTGAACAAAGACAGTGACGGATAGGAAGCTATACTGAACATGGGTTGCGGATCGTCCTTGTCAGCGGAGTTTCAAGCGAAATACACAGCTTCAATTCAACTCTCCGCAGCTCAAAAAAAAATCGTTCGAGAAACATGGGAGTTTGTGGAACAACGTATGAGTTATGTAGGGAAGAGGATGTTTTTGAAGTAAGTGTATTTGTACCAGATAACAAGAGTTACTTAAGGGCCAAGGAAAGTCTCATTTCTTTGCTCTTAAAACACCACATACAACTTGTATGCGTACCATCTACAAGCGTTTTCGCCTGTCATCCACGGTTAAACCGCGCCGGAAAATGCTGATAAAAACGACGACTTTCGAGAACTCACCAGTGTTTAGGGGCACCCAACGACGGTTTCCTCCTAAATTTATTGAAAACACGTTTTAGGCTATCCAGAGTAGATCTCTAAAAATGTATTCAAGTGGCGCTAAAAACAGTCACTTGGTGCTCCTGAGTGTACAGCTACCCAGTTTCCTCAAGAAAAAATCGGAAAAGCATCCCCTTTTTCGAAGAGAAAAGAACCTTGTCCATTGGTTTGTTGAATATATTTGATACCCTTTTATGTTCGCAGATTCTTTGAAAACAATCCCGAATACAAGCGCCTGTTTCCAGAATTTAAAGACCTCTCGCTATCAGACATAGAGAAAACCAAAGAATTACATGGGCATGCAAAGCGCGTAATGAAAGCTTTGGAAAATGCAGTGTCGGCGATGGATGACGCAGAGATTTTTGCCGCGTATTTGGATGAACTTGGCCGGAGACATAAAGATCGACCTATGAAACCACTACACCTAGATGTAAGTGAGTCTAAGTGAAGTTAGCTGGTTGTTTCGCATGTATCCAGGTTCGCCTACTACAAATTCATCAGGAACTTTAAATTAATGTTGGACGCGTGGGCAAATCGACTGTCAGCAAGGCCGATGCTATATCTGTCGGTGAATTTCTCAGCATGTTACGTGAGAGTAAAATCTTTTCGAAATAATGTAACATGTAAAAAAACTCGAGGGAGGGATTCCATTAACCCCTTCCTTGTACCACAGGGGTGGGGGAGGGGAAGACTTTGCGTGTACGTCCGAGGGTTAAACTGTGAAAACTCTTTCTAGGTTTAATAGTTAACATGGTTTATAATTACCCACCCATCAAAACTAACCAGACTGAAACGTTTGATTTGCAAACCGAGGTGTCCCTCAAACTTTGATGTATGCTTGATGGGTAAACCACGCACCATTTCGAAACACAAATAAAAGTATACCTGTGTTTTCGTTTCCAGTCAGTAAAGACCGCTTTGATATTTACTCTTCAAGAACTCTTCAAATCCAGCTGGACCGAGGAAACAGCAGAGGCCTGGAACAAGCTCTTCATGTTTATCAGGGATCAAATGGTACGTGGCCTGCAGTCACGAGCATGAACTCCAAACAAGGCTTCCGGCTTAAATATTCAGATCTAAGGGACCGGTCATTATTTATCGCCTAGGCGGGGGCGGTGGGGGGGGGGGGGGGAATTTGGGTTAAAAAAGGGAAAGTTTGGGCCCAACCACCCTTTGGATGGATCTCTTGTGAGTGAGGTCCTCCTCATACTCTGTTATTTTCTCTGCTCCCCCCCCCCCCCCACCCTCTCTGTGCACCACCA